CCGGAGTTTGTTCTCTTTAAGCACACACCTACTGGCTGAATAGCAGATACTGCTTTCAGTGGGTTGAGCCCATGAGAAGTGGTAACCAGTAAAGTGAACAACGTACAGTAAAATTCTCTCATGTGAATGTAGGCTACTTCACTTAACCCACTGCCGTTGAGCTGATTCCAACTCCAGGACCCTCTAGGCTAGCAGAGATGAATTGCTCTGTCAGTGCTTCTTGGGTTATGTTGATGTAACTGTGTTGAACGCTACAGGAACTTGGAATACTAACAGGGCACTTAGTACTGGCCTCCTTTAGTTGCTGGCTCTGTAAGGTCTCTCGGACAGTGACTCACGTGCAATGAAAGATGTGGTCAGGCTGGAGCAGACATCCTGCCATCATTATTAGGGGGCTTCCTGGCCAGGGTGCCCTTTCATGCAAGTTCAGACAGGTTTCATCTAATGAATGCTTAAGAGTGATTTTGGATCTTACTTGGAAGAATGTATGCTTTCTAACCCAAGATTCCAAATGAGTTGGAAGAAAACTTTTTGTTGAAATTTTCATGAAACAAATCTGCATCAAGACCTGTTATCAAGACCCATTTTACCTGAAGAGTTGACTGACTTAGAGACGTACAGACTATTTTATATTGCTAAAACATCAATGCAGCCACATTGGTATGAAGGGGAGCACTTTAGGACGTCACAACACACGGAGTTGAACAAACACTTCTTATTAATAAGGAACCTGATGATCAGATCTCCATGTGGTGCGTCATTGCATGTACAGTTATGTCCTAGCATAGTAGTACACACCTGCCCAGGGTATGCTTGACCGAGGGGCTAAGTCCCAATCCCTCAAAAGATAGTGTGATTATACTGGCATTCTCATGTCACTCGTAGTGTGTGCTCAAGTCAGACATGCTGGTCTATAAGTGTCTGAGTACTTCATGGTGGGGTAACCAATAATCTGAGGCTACCTGGCATTTGAGATTGTGTAGTTCAATCCATAATAAAAAGCCTATCTAAAAATGCTTATTTACATGAACCATGTTCATATGGGATGTGGTGTAAACAACATGTTCCTTTGTTTTGTAGGACTCCACAACACGTGGTGTGTAAAAATATTTCTTACTGTTCTTGAACCTAATGATAAGCAATCTATGTGGCGTGCCATTATTTTAGAGTTGTACATGTCCGCCACTTTTTCTCCCAGCAGTTAAGTCACAATCCACAAAAATGAGCTAGCATTGTGTACTCAATCTCTTAGACCCATTCAGAAAAGTACCAATAGCCCACAACATAATGGCAGTTTGTTTTTTCTAACCATTCTCTCCTCTCTGAAGAGGACGTTACGGCTCGGCAGACACCCTGCATTCGTTTGTCTGAGAGTTCGTGGACACTGAACTGTGTGCCAGGGCTGGGGCCTCAGCATCGGTCCCGGAACACCTAGACCTGATTTAGCACACGGCACAGCCAAAGCTATTGTTCCCGCCCTTCAGAAGCCAGTTGTCTAGTGGGAATGACAGGCAGGTAGACTGACTTGCAAGGAGCAAAGGCCTCCCTAATTGGTGATGTCAACAACCCTTCCTTTGTAGCTTTACAAGCCACACTTTTTGTGCGACATCCGGAAACGGGGAAGCTGTTGGTTAATTTTGATCCCAAAATTTTGGAAGTTGTGCGGGAAACCAAATGCATGATAAAAATGAAGCTGGACGTGCCAGAACAGGCAAAGAAGTTGCTAAAATTGGAAAGTAAATTGAAAGCAGACAAACTGTACTTGCAGGTAAGATTAAGACAACAACAGCTCACTGCCATTGAGTCAGCACCGATTCATGGCGACCCGACAGGACAAGGTAGAACTGCCCCTGTGAGTTTCTAAGACGGTAACTGTTTATGGGAGTCCAAAGTCCCATCTTTCTCTGAGGAGGGGCTGGTGTTTCCGAACTGTGCACCGTGAGCTTAGCAGCCCCACCTGTAACCCCTGTGCCATATTTTAATTGTTTGTGTTGTTGTTGCTCTTTCCTGTCACTTTTGGTGAAAGGAAAATAGACGCCTGCCTTGATATGTTGCTTTTTGATAG